GAGAACTTGTCATGGAAAAATATTGACTGAACTAGCCCAGAAAAACAGCTTGAAAGTGAGGGGGTGTTTGGACTGACTTCTTTAAGTGACTTATAAGTTAAAAGTCACCAGTTTGGGAACCCCCAACTTTTGACTTTTGGCTTCTTTTTGTACTTTTTTCAGCTTTTATGCACTTTTTGTGTTACCCAAACACTTTCAAAACTAAAAAATACTTAAAAAGCCAAAAGTCACTAAAAATAAGTCAATCCAAACACCCACTTTACAGCATGACACTTTATAGCATTGACATACAATTACGTTATAGACGGAGATAAATGAAGCCAAGTCTATAAAGAGCATTGAGAGGTGACAAGTTTGACAACAGGAAAGTATGAGATGCGCTATTGGTTTCTCTTTAAAACACTATATTCATTTGTGATCAGAAAAAGTGAATGATTATTATGTATGAAAAAAGATTAAGTTTCCTGTTCAGTTTTCAAGGTGAACTGTATTTTAGAAGTTCAAAAAGTTAACTTTCTCTCAGGAAGTGGCTTCACACAGGTTTAACTAAGAAAATCTTAGTTGTATTCAATAGGTATTGATTTTATCGTCATTTTATTGTTTCCTGAATTAATTCTACCTCTAGGCGTCTGAATATTGAGTTTATTCTAGTAAAACGTGGGGAGGATATTATCACAATGATCTTCTTGTGTCAGAAACTCTATTAACAGCTTACTTTCCTCTGTTTGAGCATGTGAGATTACGTCTTGCATTTTATCACTAGTATCGCATTGGCAATATTCAGTTAGATTAGTCTTTCTTTTATTGCTTGATATATCTCCTTTCCTATTTGCTTTATTTTTCCTCTAGTTAATGAGTAATATGTTCCATTTTTCATATGAATGACTGTTACTTTCCAGTAAATTGCAGACTTCAGAGATCGGGAAACATACGAGTGCCTTTTCAGGGAGTATTACGAGTTAGTAAAGGAAAAAGAAGGAATTGACAAAAATAAACTTCTTGCTGGTAAGGCTCAACTAGACAAGGAGAAGATAAGCCAAAATAGTTCTTATTCAAATAAACGTTGTGAGAAAGAGGATGAGCAGTTTTCTTCAGGCAATGAAAATTTCAATGATGGAGAACCTCAGAAGAAAAAGCTTAAAATGAAAAGATGTACACAGCAGAAAACAAAGACGCAAAGCAAAGTCATCGGCAGCCTTGAACAAAACAAATTATCCTCAATTTGGTATTCAACTGCACCAAAAAGTCAATTTGCAGCCTTGATTCCTGAAAATATCAAACTCGTTTACCTGAGGCGGAGCTTGGTAATGGAGTTGATCAAGCAGCCTGAGTCAATTAAAACCAAGATTATAGGAAGTTTTGTTCTGGTCAAGTTAGATCCACAGCGTAACTCTCATCAGCTTGTGCAAATTACAGGTTGTTTTAACAAATGATTTCATTCTTTGATTTGTCTTGAAATGGTTGCTAGCATCCATCGGTGGACTACTGTGAATATGATGCTGCATATGCTCGTGTTTTCAATACCTGAGTTTTTAGATAATTAGGCATCAACTAGCCAGAACACCTATTTTTTTTCCTAAAACAAATGATTATGTTTTCTCAACCAACTTTGTTTACACTTTTGTGGTTATCACGACATTAATAATCTGTTCAAGCACATGAAGCTGAAGTTGAATCTTGAAACTCATCTTCTCATAATTTCCTTTGGGCTAGTCATTATTGTGTTGTTAATATTGAGAGAAGAGTTCATGCTTTACACCCTCTATATTATGTTTTGGAACATATAGATTTTCTTTACAATTTGTTGTACTTTGTTTGCCCATGTCATATGATACTATTATTATTTGGCGAGTCTAATTGTTTCTTTATTTGACTACGATATGTTTAAATACGTTGGTTCGATTTTACCAAATAATTGTGATTGGCAGTAATTAGCAATATGTATTTTAAAAATATGTAAATATTATTTTTAAAATGGTTAAACATCGATGTCAGAATACGCGTAGAGAATCAGATGAGTGGATTCCGGATCATACCACTCTTTCCGGAACGGAGGATGATCGTTGCTAAGCTAAAACAAGTTACTCTCTCCAACCCAAAGAAAAAGAGTAGAAGACCTAGTTTGACTAGCACCATAGGTTGAGAGAGAAAATTTATAATAAATTACTATTATTAAACTTAATACTCCCTCGTCCCATTTTTATGTGGCACTTTTCGGATTTCGAGATTCAAATAAGGCTATGTTTGACCATAATTTTTTCATAAATCTTTTAAACATTTTGAATTATCAACTATTGTGACTTAAAGTACTTTTTTATGTTTTTTTTCAAATATATAAATTTCATTTAATTTGATGATTCCATGTGTAAATTCCTGTCAAACTTAAACTGTTTGACTCTCGAAAAACAAAAAAATTCACATAAATTGGGACACAGAGAGTAGTATTTAGGGAAATTTGATATGTGAATAGAGTGGATTAGTTCGATGAAAAGATATGACGTGGTGAAATAAGTAAATCAATCAATTAAAGAAGCTCAGTAAATTTTGAAGAGAAAAAGAAATGCAGGTCGAAAAATTGGATGGAGATATTGAGGCCATGATCATAATATTATTCTTATCTTCCAAGTCTTAATATAGAATATTTATCTTCCATTGAAATATTAATCTTGACCACCAATTTTGCTTTCAAACTGACATCGTTCTTGTTTAAGGAGTGTTCTCAGGGACCAAGCTTGGATCAAGTGATACGTGCAACAGCGAGAGTTCAATTCAAGTTTCAAATGTGGCAACAGATGTTAGCTTGACCATGCTTTCAGATAAAGATATTTTAGAGGTAACCTACTTCATCTTTTGAGGGCATCTGTCTATGCAAACTCTACTTATAATTTGACATGATTTTTCAGCTAATCAGCTATATAGAATTTGACATGATTTGTGGTTAACCCTTCAATTCAATGAATTTCGACATTTTCCTGTGTTTTTCAGGAACATTGTGATGTGCTCAGAAAAAATGTGAAAGCTGGGCTTCAAAAGAAGCTTACAATTGTAAGTTTTCTTGGATTGCATTTTGAAATAACTATTACGCTGAAACATAGTCTAGATATTATTATATGACTGAAAGCTTTGTATGATTAACTGTTGTTTTCTGCATAAAATACCCGCAATTAAATGACTTCTGCAAAAAGTGATCTCTCTGTCGGCACTGCTCGGTACAAGTTCTGGTTGCCTCTAGAAAACCCAATTTCTCTTTGTTATGTAGTGTTAGAGCTTGTAATATGGATTTTGAGTGGGAACTAGTTTCTCCAGTCTCAGCTCTTCAGGCGGCATGCTGTTTGCAATATACTACATGCTCTCTTGCGGATTACATACATGAATATACGACTGCTATAATCTTGTATCCTTCATGTTCTATGGTGTGACCCCTCTGGTGGGAAGGAACTAGTAGAGCCTGGGTGGATCTTGGCTGGGATAGATGCACCCAATTCTTAACCAGTTCTGAAAAAAGACGCAGATCAAGAGAGAACTACTGGAGTGATCACGTGAATTTTCAATCTTCTTCTTCTCCTCCTAACCCTTTTCCCTTATCGATGTAGATTGTTGGTGGAAAAATGATGGCTGTAATGTGAATATGTTCTCCAGTTCCGGTCTCTGGCACTAATCATTCTGTGAACTTATAGTGTCCTCAGTTTTGGTTTCACCAAGTAAGAGTGCCTGCTAGCTGTCCTTTGTCATCATGTTGCATTTCAAATAAAAAAGCATGTCTTACTGAAACCCGTTCTCTTCTTTCTTTTTAAGCAAAGTCTACAGCACCACATCAACAAAAGTTTGTTCCCATCATCTGCATGTTACATGAATATTCTTTTTCTCTAAAAGGATAAGACATAAATTGCATTATTGGGAAGGTCACAAGATAGAATACAACTGGACATTGAATAGGTGCATCTAAAACACTAATGCAGATCAGCCAAACAACATGATTCAATAGTGGATTACGTGGATCAGTGCACTTCTTGCCTAGTCCAGTAGATCAGTTCTTGGTGCTATTTTGAGTTCACTCCATAGAGATCAGATCTCCATAGATCGACAACATATGAAGCAGTTACTTCCTTGGTCATTCACCTGTCTTCCTCCTCATACTTAGCATCTATGACTTTCCCCCACAGCATTTGCTTGTTAATTACATACTTCCACAGCCATTTCATTCTGAGAGCCTTACTGTGGTTTTTACTCTTTCAGGTTTTTAATTCCCAGACCCCCATATCTTCTTCCACTATCAGATCTTTCCATTTGACAAAGTTATAGCCTTCCCTTTTGAATTTCCTTTTTTTTTTTAAAAAAATTGCTTTTGAGTTTGTATCACTTCATTTAAAATAATGAGCTACTGGAAAGGGAATACTTCTATTTAATTTGCATTTGGTTTAATCATTATGCTCACTTGTTGGCATGGATATATTCCCTGAGCCATGGGGGAGACCCATATCGAATAAAAAATTCTTGCTCTGACACCATTTAGAATTGTGTGTGTCATCTCTATTAAATGTTTGATCTATTAGAAAGTTGATACTTCTAATTTAACCTTCTACATTTCTGAAAGATACAAACTCAGTTCCTCAAGTTTTCCAGTTATAGATTCAGTTGAACTCCAATGTCATTTAGTACTACCATAAAACTTAATCTCCTATTTGCAGGTGGAGCTTCAACAGAGGGCTAAAATCCTTCACGAGGACATCACAAAGCACGTATGGTTTCAGTCTTTCCAAGTTACTTTTAAAGTTGGATAATTTATTTTCTTAGGAACTCCCTGTTGATTTGGATAGCTTGTAGCTCTATGAATTTATACTCCATTGGCATTATATCGTGCAACATGGATTAAATGCTTTAAAAAGATTTCAGCTTCCATTTCAGTATCATGGAGTTATTAGGGACCTTTTATTTTATCTTAATTCCATATATTTGCGAAACATCTAATATCTGGTGACCCCTTCACTTTTAATGTCAAGAGGATTGCTCGAGAGCTGAAAGTGTTGCAAGGAAAAATTGATCAAGCAAATGAGAAAGGATGGAGACAAGAATATCCTTTTTTCCTTCTTTTTTTGGGTGACCAAATTTATCGTATTTGACAGAACGCCAAACCAGTCCCAAGGATGGAAAATTAGCACAGGTTTGGTAGTAAGCTTCTGTGTATGGTCACCAGCATTACTTTCTATGATCACCAATTTCATCCTAACCTCTATGTTCCTCCTTTATCATCTCATCCTTCATTTCCTAATTATGTCTGTGTGTACTGTTATCTCGATGTTCTTCATCCTGGTCCATTCTGCAAAGAAAGGAAAGTATTTCCTTAATCACTTGGTTTTTACACTTACCGAGCATCTGAATAGAAGATATCTCCTACAGCAAGATTCATACCTGTCATCTGTGCTGGAAAATATTCCTCGAGTGACTCCAGAGGAAATAGAGCCTGTATCTCTTGATGGGAATGACAATCAGATAGTAACCACTATAAAGAAGAATATTACTGGAGTTACTCCTGAGAAAATAGATAGTGAACCTCTGGCTGAAAATAATGATGGGAAGCTTTCTTCAGACAATGGAGATTTCAGTGGTGAAGGACCTCCGAAGAAAGGGGATGAAAAGAAAACATATACACAGCAGAAAACAAAGATGCAAAGAAGAGACACTTCACAGAAAAAAGAATTTGTTGGATGGGGATCAAAATCTCTAATTGACTTTCTTCAGTTTATAGGTCACGATACCAGAGAAAAATTATCCCCATATGATGTGACATCGATGGTAATTAAATATGCAAATGAAAATGACCTTATCCATCCTATTGAAAAGAGAAAAATCCTTTGTGATATTCAGTTAGAAGCTCTTTTGGGGGGGAAAGTGGTAAACAGAGACATAATACTTAGCCTCCTTAAAAGCCATTTTGTTGAAAATGAGGAGCGATTACAAAAGAATGAGCTTGCTCATGATCTTGAAGACAATGACACAGAAATGTTTGTGGCTTCTAAAACTGAGAAAAAGGTTGAACAAAACAAAAGATCCTCAATTTGGTATTCAACTGCAGCACAAAGTCAATTTGCAGCCTTGATTCCTGAAAATATCAAACTTGTTTACCTGAAGAGGAGTTTGGTTCTGGAGATGATCAAGAAGCCTGAGTCGTTTGAAACCAAGATTATAGGAAGTTTTGTTCGGGTCAAGTTAGATTCACGTGATTTTGAGCTGCGTAACTCTCATCAGCTTGTGCAAATTACAGGTTGTTTTAACAAATGACTTTATTCTTTGATTTGTTTTTTTAATAGTTGTTAACATCCCTCAGTGAACTGCTGTGACTGTGTGTCAATGCTGCATTATGCTCATGTATTCCATACAAAAATTTTTGATACTTGAAATTATCCAAAATATGACTGCTGTGAATATGTCTGAATGCTGCAGTATGCTCATGTCTTCCATTCAGAACATCCGTTTTTTTAACATAAATGATTTATGTTTCCTCAACCAACTTTGTTTACTCTTTTTGTTGTTATCATGGCGTTTATAATCTGTTCAAGCCCATGAAATAAAAGTTGAAACTCAAAACTCATCTTTTCATCTTATGAATTTCCTTTAGGTTTTCCATTGTTGTTTTGTTAATATTGAGAGAAGAGTTCATTCTTAAAACCCTCTATATTTCGTTTGGAACATTAAAACCTTCTTTTCCCAGTTATTATACTTTGTCTGCTCATGTTCTATGGTGCTATTCCTATTTGGTAAGTCAAAGTGTTTCTTCTTTGTCTACAATGTGTTAAATAATTTGGTAAGAGTTTACCAAAATAATTGTTATTAGTGGTAATTAATATGCAGTTTTCAAATATGTAAATATTATTTTGAAAATAGTAAAGCATCGATACAGAATTTACATAGAGGATCAGATGAGTTGATTCCGGATCGCTGCTAAAGTAAAACAAGTTACATTGTCCAACGGTCCAACCCAAAGAAGAAGAGCAGAAAACCTAGTTTGAATAGCTTCAAAGGTTGAGAAAGAAAATTAGAAATAGGTCACTATAATTAACTTTAACAGGATTTGGATAAATCTGGAAGTAGAAATTTGATATGTGAATAGAGTGGAATAGATGGGTGAAAAGATTATACGTGATGAAATAAGATAAATCGAGCTCTTAAAGAAGCTCAGTAAATTTGGAAGAGAAATAAGCAAGCAGGTCAAGTAAATTGGATGGAGAGAGTGAGGCAATGATCATAATCTTATTTTCATCTTCAAAGTCTTAATATAGAATATTTTCTTCTATTAAAAACTTTATGTTGAGCACCAACTTTGCTTTCATAATGACATCTTTCTTGTTTAAGCAAGTTTTTCAGGGATCCAGCCTGTATCAAGCGATAACTGCTGTTGCAAGAGTTCAATTCAAGTTTCAAATATCGCAAAAAATGTTTGCTTGAACACGCTTTCTGATGATGAATTTTCTAATGTAACCTACTTCAACCCTTTTATGATCATTCTACCTATATGTTCATTACATAAGATATTAAATGTTGTCAATCCAAGTCTTGTCATGTACAAACACGTGTAACTCTTCTAACTTAGAGTTAGATTCCATACTGCTAAAAGCAGACTGCAAAAGAGTTGATAATTTTGGATGTTGGTTTTTTTCTAGGCTATATTTGTTTTAATCTTTTAAAAAGGATCAAAGGTTTTCTCTTGTTTTGAGAAGTTGTTATCATTGGCTGTTTCAGATTTTTGTGTTAGCGGTGTCATAATAGATTTCACTCTTGGAAAAGATCCTGATTGCAGCCAATGAGAGGAGGTGCAGCATGTGGATTAGCTATCCTCTTTTTTGTACTAACAGAAGAAAACATCTTTTTAACTCTTCTTGTAGGTGCAATTTACACCACAAATATGGGAATCTTTTTATGTTTTCCAGTTACTGTACAACAACATACTCAGTGTAATCCCATATCTAGGGTATGGGGAGGGTAGAGAGTATGCATACATCACCCCCTTTATGTTTTTAGTTACGGAAAAAAACAAATTCAGTGACTGAAGAGTGGCTTCAATTGGGTTACCAATATTCTCAACCTTGTGAAAGCTGAGGTAGTTTTGTATGTTGATCAATTTGGAAGTAATTTAAAATATCCTAGATGATAAATATTTGATAGCATTCTAGAGCTGCTGGACTGCCATTGTAATTGGAGCACTCCTATTTTTGTTCAGTCTTTTGAGCTACTCTTGGTGCATTTACACTAATGGAAATGGCTTATCACTTTGAGTATTTGTTGAACTGAGGGAAAAAGCTGATTGAATGTTATTACTAATAAAAAATGAAAGGATTGAACGTTTCTAGTAGTCTAGATCCTAATGGAAGCTAGTTTTATGTTTCTTCAGAATACAACATAGCATCTTACCCTTAGTTGATTTGAAGCTGTTACATGTATTCATTTATACTTGAGAAACATCTTAACAGTGCGGAACTACCCAATGGAAAAAACTCTACCAAAAAGCTTTCTTGGTTAACCCTTCATTTCAATGTGTTTTGACATTTTTCTCTGTTTTTCAGGAAGAATGTGATGAGTTCAGAAAGAAAGTCAAAGATGGGATTTTTAAAAAGCTTACAGTTGTAAGTTTTTTTGGCTTGTATTTTGACATAACTATTACGTTGAAACATAGTCTCGATGTTATTATATGACTGAAAATTTTAGTATGATTAACTATTGTTTCCAGTATAAAGTACTCCCAAATAAATGACTTGCCCAAAAAGGGATCACTCCGTAGGGACTGCTCAGTGCAGGTTCTGGTTTCCTCTAGAACAACCCAGTTTCTCTTTTGTTATAAAGTATTTCTCAAGTCTCAGCTCTTCAGGCAACATGCTGCTTGCAACCTACCACATGCTCTCTTGCCTTGTTCTAGGAATAATCCTTTCCCTAAGAGTGACTTGGTCATTTTCATGTATTCTTCATGTCCTGTCATGTGACCCTTCTGGTGGAAGCGACTAGTAGAACCTGGGTAGATCTTGGCTGGGCTAGTGGGACCCAATTCTTAACCAGTTCTTAAAAAAACTCTGATCAAGGGAGAAAGAATACTGGAGCGGCCAAGTGAATTCTCAATCTTCATCTTCTAATCCTGGTCCCTTATCATGGAGGTTGTTGATGGAAAAACGAGTCAATGTAATGCGAATAGGTCCTCCAGTAGCATTAAACATTCCTTTATTTGATAATGTCTCAGTTTTGGTTTCACCAAATAACAGTGCCTGCTAGCTGGCCTTAATCATCGTGTTCCATTTCAAATAAGAAGTGTGACTCACTGAAACCAATCGTCTTTTTTCTTTTTAGCAAACTCTAACAGCGCCAGCTCAAAAGAACTGTTTTCTTGTCATCTGCATGTTACATGAATATTCTTATTCTCCAAAGGTTAAGACAACTTTAGAATTGCATTTTTGGGAAGGCTTCAAGATAAGAGTATATCTGGACATTGAACAGGTTTCTGTAGAACATTATCGCAGATCATCCAAACAACATGATTCAATAGTGGGTGGATAAGTGCACTTAATGCCTAGCGGAGATAATGAGGAAAGCCTCCAGCTTAACACAGTGCTTTTCTAGTTCCCCTTTTACTATACATAGAGACCTTTTGAATTTCCTTTTCTCAAATAAGTGCTTTTGAATTTGTACAACTTCATTTATAATCTTGAGCTACTTGAAAGGGTATATAATTTGCATTTGGTTTTTTATCCTCCTCACTTATGGGCATGGATATATTCCCGGAGTCATGGGGAGTTTTCAGTAAATGGGTTGTGGCGAGACTCAAATCAACAAAATGTTTATTAAATGTTTGAGCTATTAGAGTGCTGATACTTTTATTTTTGTCTTGTACATTTCTGAAAGGATATAAGCTCAATTCCTCAAGTTTCCCAGTTATAGATTCATTATGTCTTTACTACCATAAAACTTACTCTCCTATTTGCAGGTGGAGCTTGAACAAAGGGCTAAAATTCTTCATGAGGACATCACGAATCATGTATGGTTTCAATCTTATTTGGATAATTTATTTCCTTAGGAACTTCCTTGTTAAGTCTGGATTGTTTGTAGCTCTACGAGTTTATACTCCATTGGCATATGAGAAAACAAAATATTATCATGCAACACGGATCAAATGTTGTAAAATGATTACAGCTTCCTTTTCTGTAACATGAAAACATTAGGGACCTGTTCATTTTTATCTTGAACCAATATTTTTTGCGGAACATTTAAATATCTGATGACACCTTGACTTTTAATGTCAGAGGATTGCTCGAGAGCTGGAACTTGCGCTGCAGAATATTCCGAAAGTGATTCCAGAGGAAGTAGAATCTCTTGATGGGGATGACAATCAGATGCACCTATGCTCAGATGAGGCAACCCTACAAAAGAAAATAATCTTGGAGTGATACCATCAGAAAAATAATGAAAGATGAGAAGGATGGTAGTAAGATGCACCAATGCGCGGTTATAATGATGCTATGTGCAACTCCCTATCTTCTCCTTTGTTTAAATTGTTATTGTTAAGCCTTTGCTGGAAAACTTTAGCAGATCGTCTTTGACGGAGGGAAGATGCTTCTATCAGTTGCAGGTTCTACCTTGCTATTTTGAATTTAATTGATTATTCAGTTTTAGCTTTGTTATTTATATTACAGCCAGTTAATGTTATGAAAAAAACCAGGTTTACTCATTTTGATGTTGCATTTGCTCTTGCTCTACATCATGATTCATGAGAAGGATCAAGGGGTATACTCCCTCCGTCCACAATTGTTTGTCATGGTAGAATTATATACACCCTTCAAGGAAAAATAATTTAATACAAAGTGTAATTTCTACTATACCAAGAATATCAAAAGTCTACATAACTTTTCAATTGAAGCATACATTAAGGGCAAATTGTTTCTTGATTATTTAAATTGACAGATAATCTTAGACATCTATTTTTAGTATATTTATCAAACAATTGTGATTCATTCTTTTCTGAGAGACTTAGCAAGAAAATGTTCTTTCTTGATTGTACAAAATTAAATAGTTGTTAGCTAATTTACAAGGCCACAAACTAGCCGAAAGCCCTATCTAAGAAAGTGGCTACTAGCTCAAATGCTGGTGAAAACCTCGCTTTTTAGCGATAGGAGGCGGCAAGGACCCGCAACTCTCGAAGGGGCCACCAACCGCCCGAATCACTGTCTACCCCCATTCTACCAGCAAACCCTTTCTTTTAGTCGGGCAAGGACTCTCGGTTAGCCGTTTTTTTGTTCTTTGGTCATTTCCGGTAACCTGGTAGATCTACTGAACCTTTTCCAGAAGGGAGTTTCGAACTTTCTAGAAGTCCAATAACGGTGATTAATGAACTTCATCTCTGCAAAAGAATTCCACAGGCAAGCAAAAATGACTCCATCAAGCAACTTCAATACATGTTTTCAACCAATATGAAAAAAAAATGGTAAATCTAATTGAATTTATCTTACTTTTTATATTAAAAAATTATATTTTAGGTAAACGTATATGTGTAGTTCGTTTAAGTAATCTAAAACTGCCTTAGTATTTTTATTTGTCAAATCTAAAATTTTATAAATCCTCAACCTACTCCATTAAATCGTTTCCATAGGCTAACAATAGCATTTATTAAATAAAAATGTTCAAACACCTAACTGTATGAGGTACTAAAGTTTCCATAGGAATAGCATTTATTAAAAGAAAAAAAAATTAAATATGTAATTAAATTTTCAAATTAGACTTATTTATAGCATTCGTTAAAAGTTTGATTCATGAATGTCATTATTGTTAAACGTATGAAATTTTTTCAAAGTTACAGAATTTCAATATTCTCTAATAGTAGGATTTTCTCCATAATTTCAAATCATTTGAAATTTGAACATAGACTCAAAAACTACTAGGGAACAAAGATCTAGGGTGTGTTTGGTAGGAAGAAAAATATTTTCCAATTTTTTATTTTATTTTTCTCATGTTTGGTTAGATCAAATATTTTGAAAAATATTTTTCAAATCAACTCGTTTTCCTCAAAATTAAGGAAAAATGAATTCCCTTTAAAATTTCAGAAAAACATTTTCCAAAATTCTCTTCCAACCTCCCCCCTTACCCACCCCACCCTATTAGCCCCCAACCCACCCCATTATCAGCCCCTCACCGACCCCTACCAGGCCCCCACCCTACCAGCCCCAACACCACCCCCTACCAACCCCTCCTACCCCTGAAAAAAAATTTAAATTTATTTTTAAAAAAATATTTTCAATTTTAAAATTTCATTTTTTTCACCTCTATCCTTCACCCCACCCACCCTTATCAGCCCCCCCCCCCCAAAAAAAATAAGATTGTTGTTAAAAAATATTTAAACTTCAGAATTTTTCAACCCCAACCCCCAAAAAAATTGATACTGTTTTTAAAGAAATTGAACTTCAAATTTTAATTTTTTCACTCCTACCCTCAAACCCCCCACCCCACGCCTTCCAAAAAAAATGATATTGTTTTTAAAGAAAAAAATTCAATTCAAATGTTAATTTTTTTTACCCCTACTCTCGAACCTCCCCCAAGCCCCCCAAAAAAATTAAGTTTTCTTTTAAAAAATATTTTAAACTTCAAATTTTTATTCTTTTCACCCCTACCCTCGATCCCTCACCCCCACCCCACTAGCCCACTACAACACCCACCCACCCACCCACGCGCTTCCAAGAAAAATAATAAGATTGTTTTTAAAAAAATTTAATTTCAAATTTAAATTTTTTTCACCCCGACCTTCGAATCCCCACCCCACCACGAAAAAAAATTAAGTTTGTTTTTTTATTAAAAAAATTCAACTTCAGAAATTATTTTCTACTCTATCAAAAAATAAAAGATATTTCTCAAAAATATTTTTCATTTAAAAATCAAACACTAAATTATTTTCTACTCACCAACCAAACATGAGAAAATAAGTCAAATATCTACTTATTTTTCAAAAAACATTTTCCTTCATACCAAACACACCCCTACCAAAACACAAATCAAAGCAAATTTCTTAAAATTTGGGACCGATTTCCATTTTTTTAATACAAGTGAATTTTTTGTACTCTACAAATAATTTTAGAATTTTGATTATTCTTAAAAAAAAGACTAATAATGTGGTCGAAATTTGAGATAATTTCGTAAAGGATTGAAAATTTGAAAGTTCTTGATATTATTTTGTTATCGATGTTATTTTTCTTTTTTTGAAGTGTTTTATCGTGCTATCTTTTCTATTTTGTTTTGTTATTTTCATTTATAAAAAATTGTACTTATGACTTACTAGTTCCCATTTCAAAAAATATTTTGCCATCTCTATAAGATACACGTTCACACCATTATCTTTGATTCTTTTCCCAAAGAGTTTATCAAATTATAGTTTCGTTATATTATGTACTAAAAATATATTCTCACCACAATTTACAACATAATACTTGTATATGGTATATATTTTTCTTTTCATATCAATAGCATTAATATTATTTTAATAATTTTTGTCCCTCCATTTTTATTACCATATATTATTTTCAGTGTTTTAATTATTACATTTTCTAACTACTATAACCGTTCCTTTTTTAAATTAAAATAAATAAATAATCCACACAATAATGTTTTCCTTCGATATGCCTTAATTTAGTTATATACTTTTCTTTTCAAACTATTTTGTTATGCATTATTTACTTGAGTCGAGAATTTTTTTGAGTCAGTAGTTCTGTCTTTACGAGGTAACGCTTAGGTGTACGTACACTCTTTACTATAAATACTTACGGCTTAAATAAAATTTGATCCATATCAAAATTGAACCAAATCACTTAAATATATTAATTTTAGTTTTATTTTTGTTTGGATTGTTGTAATATTTATAATTTTGGGGGATAATGAAATCAACCTGGGCATAATTCAGTTATTGACTCTTTCAATTTTGATTTTATGCTTTCTACTTCAGTGTACTCAACATGAAAAAAAAGGTATAATTTAGGGATGGACAATATTTATCACTTTTCGAACTCATTTATTTTTCTATTTTCTCACTCTATCTTTAATTTATTTCAATTAATGATAGATAACTGAATTATGATTGTTAAATTAAATCAATAAATATAAATTATATTTGATTCGGTTTCAATAATTTAAAATTTAATCAATTAGTTTGACTTTAATTTTGATCAATAATTAATCGAAATCAACTAGTGAACATACACTCTCTATATTCATAAAATTATATTAAATATGTTATTATTATTATTATTAATTTATTATTGTTTTTGTTATCATTTACAATATATCACTTTAAATTTAATGTAAATTAATATACACCCCGTAGGGACACCAAACTTTATCCTCATTAATCAATGTTACTATTGCTTAACAAAGTAGATTAGATTTTAAGTTATATATTATTATCTTTAAGTGTACTTTAGCCTGCAAAAGCATATTACTGGAGTATATGGTTATCAGGTAGTCAACAAGTATCTATCAGTTCATTTTTATAATTTATTTTTAAAATAGATTTTTAGTTTTATTTATCATTTTTAATATATCAATAATAATAATAATAATAATAATAATATATATATATTCATGTTCTATGTTTGATATTTAAAAATCATTTTTCAAAACATAATATTAAAACATCGATCAATATAAATAATGTGATAAAATATTTATATCGATAATTATTTTTTAAATATGTGTCAAGTCAAATAGTGTCAAGAACAAAAAAAAAACGAAAGGGAGTACTTAACTATCTTTTAAAATTAGTTACTCATGTTTTTTCCCACTCAGTATTCAATATATTAGTTCAATTTTAATAAATCATATATATATATATATATATATAATAAAAGAAATATTAGATCCGCTTACTTGACGCTCCCACAAATAAGAATTTCTTTTTAAATTTATTTATTTTCAAAACTAGCCTTCTCCTTTCATGAAGAATTGTGACTTTTATGAAGAATTGTGACTTTTATGTAAAGTTGTGACTTTTACGTAAAGTTGTGATTTTTATAAAGAGTTGCGACTTTAATGAAGAATTGCGACTTTCGTGAAAAGTTTGACTTTACTGAAGAGTTGCAACTTATGAAAAATTGTGACTTTTTAAAAGGTTGTAACCTTTACGAAGGGTTGCAACTTTTTCAAATAGTTGAAACTTTTTCGATAAGACACAATAAACATTTGTGTGGGCTACCCTTTGTTGTTTATAAATAGAGGGATCTCCTCTCATTTTAAAATAACGAAAATTCTAACCCTTTCTTGTTCTTCACAACTAAATATTTGTGTACTTAATTCCTGTTGAGTGGGTTACTGACATCATTCCTTATGTTACAGATCTTGGTATGTATTTTTACGGTCATTAATTTCTACTTGTTTCATTAAGGATAAATGATAAGATAAGTTACCTTTATCAACTAAATATTTATGTACTTGGTTCATGTTGAGTGAATCACTGACACTATTGCTTATATTACAGATCTTGATATGTATTTTTAAAGTCATTAATTTATACTTTTAATATTAAGGATTAATGATAAGATAAGTTACCCTTATCTCAAAAAAGAAAAAATTAAGATGTAATAAGTTTCATTTCCTTCCTTTACATTATTAATGTTTATTATCGCTTAATATTGTATATAAGATAATATAATATTTTAGTTTTGATGATTGATAGATTGAAATTATTATTTTATAAATTTTGTGATATAAATTCCCGCGCGAAGCGCGGATAAACATACTAATTGAGAATATAGTAAAAAGAAATCAAATTAAAAAATATTTAACAAGTAAATAAAAATGGAGAAAATATTTACTATCCATATTAAAATTTGATTTAAGACTTTTAATTAAGGAGGAATAATTTATTCACTGTACCACTTTTT